GGATGTTCTTTTCCCTCTTGACGTGGAGAAAATCATATTCGTTGATGCTGACCAAGTCGTGCGAGCAGACCTTATGGAGTTAATGGAGTACGATTTGGGAGGTGCACCGTACGGGTAAGCGTGGGTTTTAGGTATTAAGGGAAATCAATTTGCGATCTGTTAAGCTCTAGGTACATTGTCATAATTACCATTTAGATTATAAATATGTAATATGTAGTAAGTAGGGCATATAGTAAAGTATGCCTATCTTAAGATTTTAAGTGGAATTCACAATGTTGATTATTCTACTAACTCCTAGGTGCTATAATTAGTCAAAAATATGCTTTGCTTTTTCTAGTTATGTCCCATTCTGCGACAGTCGCAAGGAGATGGATGGTTTTCGATTCTGGAAGCAGGGTTATTGGGCAAATCACTTGGCTGGAAGACGTTACCACATTAGGTTGGACTTCGCTATATTCTAGTTTTAATGGTGTTTGATAACTGTTTTCAGTGCTTTGTATGTGATAGATTTACGGAAGTTCCGTCAGATAGCTGCCGGAGACCGCCTTCGTGGCCAATATCAAGGTCTCAGTAGTGACCCTAACAGTTTATCCAATCTAGATCAGGTCCGCTGTAAATTCTTAAACAGAACGGCTCATATACATCTTAAATTTCTGCAGGATTTACCTAACAACATGATTCATCAAGTAAAAATCAAGTCGTTGCCGCAAGAATGGTTATGGTGTGAGACCTGGTGTGATGATGCTAGTAAGAGCAGAGCGAAGACGATCGATCTGGTAAACCTTTTTTTCCCATAGTACAGTACCTTACTTCCCCCTCTCCCACTCTACCATTCTTAAATATGCTATCACTCTTACAATACACTTATTTCTTCTTTTGAGTGCAACAATCCGATGACAAAAGAGCCAAAATTGGACTCTGCCATTCGAATCATACCAGAGTGGAGGGAATACGATGAAGAAGTGAAAAGTGTCCTAAGAAAAACTCGAAAAACTCCTGGCTCTACGTCCACGCCAGAACAACATTCTGAGTTGTAACTTATTGTAGCTGTAATTTTTTT